ATGACCTCGGATGGCGACGGCATCTCATGCTCCTCAAGAGTCTCGCTAACAGCCTTCTCAGCTTGCTCGTGCTCCTTGACGGGTTCGGGAACAGTGGCTATCGGCTCAGTGATCTCAGGAGCCTCCTCATCCTCGGAATCATCAGAAACCGTCTGATCAGCCTCGGGTTCTTCGGCAATGGCAAATAGCGATGCTGCTGTGGGCCGCGGTGCAGGAACCGGCGACGGCGTTCCGGACCTCCGCTCCACATCAATATCCTCAGGCTCATCATGGAATACACTACTCTCCTCGCCCACAGCCAGCGACGGCTCGGATATTCCATTGTGCCAGTCATTCATCGATGTGTGCAGATCAGGCTGTGTCATTGCCCGTGGGCGGAAGGTAAATTCTGCCGTCTGCGTCAGCGAGCTAGATCCAGACTCTGGCGTCTCGTTGGCAGCTGGGACGCCAAACGGCGATGCCGACGACGATACACCAACCGTCGAGCTGCTTGACTCGCTGTTGCTGTTAGTCGACGTGCGGCTCGCCATGCTAGCTGTGCTGGCCGGCCGCCCCATGATCATCTCATACAGCGAGTCACGCAGCGAAAACGGACTTGTTGGCCTCTGCATCGAATCGTCGCCCTTTGCCAAATGCGTCGGCGAGGTCGAAATCGGCGCCAGCTTTTTGGCCATCTCAGGAGCCGGAGCCCCGGCACTCTGCATACTGACTGGGAACGCCGAAACCGGATTTACCTTTAGATCTGGCATGTGTGCCTTCTCGATAGCCATCGCCAGCGACTGCATATTGATCGAGCCCGATGATGACAGTGAGCTGAGCGACAAGTGCTTGCCGGAAGTAGCTGACAGTGCCGGCGACACCGACTTGCCCGACTCAGACAAGCCTGATCCCGACTGGCAGTACGATGGCTCCTGCTGCACGACCTCGTCCGAGTCGCTAAAGATCCCCTCAATGTCATCGTCGTTGATTGTGCTCGGATCCACTTTGATCCGGATCGACCGGTCGTTCGACTGCGCCAGCGGATCGCCGCCGTCTGATACCTGGCTCACGGTGTCACTACCATCAATCTCCTCTGCCACATTTGCCACAGGCTCTTCTCCTGTCTGCGACTGTGCGCTCTGGTACTCGGACTCGCTGCCCAGTCCACCGGCAGAATAGTAAGACGATAGCATGCTGTCTGCATTTGACGACGAGCGCGGGCGGCCAGAGTCAGAGCTTTCAATCGACACCATGCTGACAGGCCGTCCGCTGCCGCTGTATGCACTGCTGCGCTTCTTGTCAAATATTCTCTTCTGCATCGGCTGGTGGTCGCTATTGCGCTTTTCCATGCCTGTACGGCTGCCACCCAGGCCAAGGCTGGTGCGGTCGCCTGAAGATGACAACAGTGAAACCTCGTCATCCTGGTCATCAGCGTACTCGTCAGACTGTGCTGACTGCCGCTTCATTTGCTTGATGTGCTCGTCCGAATTATTGCCGCTGATGCATGTGTCGTCGTTGCTCGAATCCTGCAGGCCAGGCAACCCGCCGGCTCCAGCCAAACCGAGATCTCCAGTGTCCCGGGCTGCCGGCACATCCTCCTCGTCGCTAAAATGCTCTAGCATCTCCATCGGTACCTCAGGGTCGCCGGAATCCATCAGGCTGCCTTGCGGAAAATCGTACTCTTGCACCTGCGCTGGCTGGTGCGGCGGGTACATCTGGTAGCGCGTGCCACGCACCTGTTCGCGATACATGGCTAGCCACTGAAGGGTGGGCTTGTCGTTTGTAATGCTCGCTGGCAGGAACCCCATCTTGTTGCGGATATCTACTGCCGCGCCCTGGCGCAGCAACCGCTCGACCAAATTTGCGTCGTTATAGAAGGCGGCCAGATGCAATGTGGTGTTGTGCTGGCGACCAAACAGGTGCGAGTCGAGTTGCTCGGGCGACGTCGCGTCGATCAGGGCGCTCAGGATGACCTCGCGTACTGCGACATGTTCCCGCATCTGCTCAGGAGTCATGCCCGACATATGCTCGTGCTGCTGTTGCTGCTGCTGGTTGCCAATTCGCCAGTGCGCATACGCGTTCTTGTACCCCATTATGGCCACCTGCAAGCCATCCATGCCTGTCGTGTCCATCCCCAGCCAGTCGCTGGCAATCGGCGTCAGGGCACTATGGAACGGCGTCGGTTCGATCCGCCGCATGTTCAAAACCTCTGGGTAGTCGGCTAGCATTGCGTGTACCTGAATCGACCGCCCCTCTGTGATCGCGCCGAACCACTGCTTGTATAGCTGCTGCGGCCACCGGGGCTCTCTGCTTTTGCGTCCGCGGCTGCCTGCCAGAGAATTCTTGCTGTATGACGACCGTCGCCGGTTGATCGGGTTGTCGCTGTTGTTGACCGGCAGGTTGCCGTTGAAGTTGATGTGCGATGGTGCTCTCATTCCCTAGAAGGATATTTGGTAGCAGATGTGCGCGGTGTGCTTAGTTGTGGGTGTGAATAGATATCAGAACAGTGCGAGAAGGGAATGAAAAAGAAAAGGCACTCCCGGCTGTCACGGTTGCCGGTATATGAAGGCACGTTCTTCGTCTCCCGGCCCTCCCTTTGTTTTCGTGCGTTCCTGTTTGCACCTAGCCAAACTGCTGGCCAGCCGACAATAAGCTGCGACAAAGCGTTACTGGCCAAATCTGCTGCCAGCCGATATTGTGCAGAGTATTTTTACCACAACCCCTCCTTGTGCCTGGAGTACGAAGAGGCGAGAAAGCCTGCCTGTCCCATGCGCTTCATTTTTGGACAGCACGCCCTATCGAAACTGGCAGGCCGGGGTTTGTTCTTGGCGAGCCATATACCCCATGCACAATAGCCAGGCAATATTTCCCAAATAACTTACCGGTGTAGAGCCTTGGCGTGCCGACACGGGTAGTGAGGGCGACTTTGGGATCTCGATTGGGCCGACAACCGACTCTGGGATGTCCTCACCATCCGAGCTGTCGAACGAGCTGTCTGAATCGCCGCTGTGCCGGCGCGACCGACGCGACCCATGTGTGCCGCTGCTGTGATGGTGGTTTCCGGCTGGTGTGTGGTGGTTGCGGAAAATCATTATTTTTCTAGCGCCCTTTGCTGAGTTTAAATGTCAAAGCGAATGGGAAGGAGTAAGGAGAGAAGGAAAGCAAAAAGAGAGCGCTGTAGACCGAGTACCTCTTGCCCCTGGGCTATGTTGTCGCTTTGTGTCAGCGGGCTCAGACCGGACCGTGGGCTGTCTATGTGATACCAGGTGCGTCCTGAAAACTGGTGGGGGAAGAAAAGAAAAAACAGGCCAAAGGGGTATTGTTGTGCTGGCTCACAGGGTGGAAAAGAAGGAATGCGAGCAAGAAGGCCAATACCAGGTGCTGTGAAATAGACGCGATGTTGCACAAGGTGGTTGACGCGATGTGAATAGTGCTGCTCTGGTGCTAGAATGATAGCAAGGAACAAGGACCACGCGAAAATACTATGCCGACCGAGGGCGGGTTGAATTACGAGAGTGAGGAAAAAACAGCAAAGGGTGTCAAAAACAAAAGGGAGCAGAAAAAGGAGCGAAGACAGGAACTGCGAAGGTGGTGGATGGGTGTTGATGGCAGTAGGTGTCTATGAAAACAAGTGCGAGCCACGGCTGCAGAGACAGGCTCGAGGGCTTGGGTGTGTACGCGAGATGGCGTCAACAAAGGCTAATGGCACAGACTCGGCTGATGGCTGTGGTGAAAGCGTGTGCAGGGCTGCTAGTGCCTCCTCTGACCAGCTGCTGCAATAAGCCGAATGGATATGTGGAACAAGGGCAGGACACCTGGGGGCTGTTTGTACAAAAGCGAGGAAGGTGAGACAGGCAGTCCAGCGCGTAAGGAGATATAGCTAGGAAGTAAATAGAATACTCAAGCAGTTGAAAGATGAAGATGCTGTCTTGCCCACCATGCCTGCGTGTCTAAACCGTCCCTCACCTCACCCACGATGAAGTGCACCTAGCTGAGGTATAGTGCCAGCATCGTCCTGCAGCGGCTGTGATTGGCGGCCAGGGCATCACGGGCCCGCGCGTTCATTATTTACGTTTTTGCGAAGCCGGCGCTGGAGCTGCAAAAAAGTGCGGGGGCAGGGCTCAGACCGCGACAACCAAAAAACCTGCGCACAACGCCGCAGCAGCCGCCCGGATATAATCTCGGCAGTTGGCAATACAGATCAGAGATCCAGAAAGGAGCGGGCAACGCCGCCTCAGACGACAGGCACAGTCTGGGGGATATCTCGCAACCCAGAAACGGATTATTGGCGGCTGCTAATAGTGGCTCAGGCAGCTAATGCGGGCGCAGGTCACTCCAGCTGGAGGAGACCACAACCGAGCATTTTGCGCTGGCCGCAGTAATATGTAAAGAGGCCAAACAGCGAGGCCGCTGAGGGATGTCATCTCCGACCTCCACCTATTTTTTGTTTTGCTCAACAGCTGCGGCCACGTCGTGGGGCTTGCCATACAGAAGCATATAAATCGCCACCGGCTGTTGCTGAGTGACACGCTGCTCTATTCATTGGTAGATACCAAACACGGATTCTTTCCTTCATCAATTCGCCATTATCTTTTGTACCCTTGACCGCCTGCACTAGATCCACAACCACTCCTGTTCCCTCCACCCCATCCGCGACCATGGCCCTTCTGGATACCCTGCTGTCAGTCGCTCCTGACGCCGTGAAGCAGTCGCTGGACAATGACACGCTCGAGTACCTGTCGAGCCTCCTGGAAGACACCGACCAGTCCGACCCGGCATCAGTCCGCGAGGTCACCGAGCCGTTCCTGCTTGACGCTGGCATGGAAGAGGGAGAGCTGGATGCGCTTTTTGAGAAGCTGAGCATTGATGCACCAGCACCGACAAAACGTGAGCCTGAGCCAGCAATCACCACGCGTGTGCTGCCCAAGGCCCAGCGTCTGAAGGATATGCTGGACACGTCCTCGACTGGATCTCGTGCTGCTGAGCAGGCAATTGTGCCTAGCTTGGCCAAGAATACGACTATGACAGTAGCAGCAACTACAGCGCGGCCAAAGTCGCCAAAGAAGGAGCAACAAAAGGAACAGGCCAGACCGATTGCAATGCCCCCGATCCAGGCGTACTCGCAGCAGTCGCGGTTCCACAACGAGACTGTGGTGACGCTCTCCAAGGACGTTGACCTGCGCGACGTCAACCTGACCATTGGCGACGTTGATATGCTGGTTGACAGCCGCCTGTGGTTCAAGGCTGGCTACCATTACGGCTTTATCGGGCGCAACGGAGTCGGAAAGTCGACGCTGCTGAACGCTATTGGCAACAAGACGCTTATCGGCTTCCCAGAGAACATCCGCACTCTCTACGTGCAGCAGCTTGACGTGCTCGAAACCAACATCACCGTGCTTGAGGCTGTTTTGGCAGCCGACGTCGAGCGCCAGAAGCGTGCCAATGATGTGCAAGCCCTTGAGGCAGCCGTTGCCGATCCTGTGACGTTAAAGACAGCACTGGACAAGTACATTGCGCGTATCGCCACCGAGCGCATCACGCAGGCACAGACCATTGCAACCATTCGCAGTGGCAAGCGTGGAAAGGTTGCGCGTGCTGCTGCTCTCAAGGCTGAGCACAACATGCTGGCTGAGGTCCGCGGTCAGCTCTACACCAAGGGCAAGAAGGACAGTGATGTAGCTGCCGACGTGCTTACTACCCTGTATGCCGAGCTCGACGAGATGGGCGCTAGCACCGCCGAGGCCCGCGCGCGTGCCATCCTGGCCGATCTTGATGTTTCAGAAGAGCAGCAAGATGGCCCAGTCAGCCTCCTTTCCGGCGGTTGGCGCATGCGTATCGCATTGGCCAAAGCCATGTTTCTCAAGCCCGATATCATGCTGCTCGATGAGTGCACCAACCATTTGGACATTGGCGCCATTGCCTGGCTGCAAGACTACCTAAAGTCGCTGACCGACATCACTATCGTATGTGTGTCGCACGACCGCGAGTTCCTCAACGCTGTCTCGCAGGAGATCATCCGCTTCAAAGACAAGAAGCTCACTTACCACCCGGGCAACTACGATGAGTTTGAGATGGCCGAGGGCGAGCTGCGCAAGAAGAAGGAGCGCCAGATCGCCGCCTTGGACCGGCGCCGCCAGCAGATCGAAAAGTCCATCGAAGGCTTTATGAAGCATGCTCGTGCAACCAACGACTCCAAGGTCCTGGGCCAGGTTGCTTCGCGCAAGAAGAAGCTCGAGCGCCTAGGTCCAGACAGGAACGAAGACGGAACCCGCTTCAAAATCTCGTACTGGGCTGGATACCACGATACAATGCGGAGGACTATAGATCTGGATAAGGCTGAGAAAGAGGTCGACTTTAGCATCCCACAGCCCGAGACGATGCGAAGCACTGCGCCCCTGGTCACACTCAACAGCGTATCATTTGCCTACAAAGCTGGCAGCAAGGACGTTATCCGCAACATTAGCCTCAACATTCTGATGGGCGAGCGCGTTGCCGTGCTTGGTCTTAACGGCTGCGGAAAATCGACTCTGGTCCAATGTCATCACCCGCGACCTGGCTCCAACCAAGGGCACTGTCGAGCAGCATGCGCGTCTGCGGATCGGCCACTACACACAGCACTTCGTCGAGCTGACCAATGTCCAGGACTCGGGTCTGAAGATGCTGATGCGTGACAATCCGTCGGTCAAGGAGGGCGAGATCCGCCGCTGGCTCGGCTCATTTGAGCTCAGCGGCGACTGCTATCCGGCCAATCTGCACCCTCAGCGGTGGCCAGCGCGCTCGCATGGCTATGGCGCTGATGCTGTATTCGCGGCCGCACCTGCTGCTGCTTGATGAGGTCACCAACCATCTAGACATGTACGCTGTCGAGGGCCTTATCAACGCGATTAACGAGTTCGAGGGTGCTGTTGTTCTGATTTCCCATGACCGTCACTTTGTGCGCGAGACTGCTGATGATGTGTACTCGCTGGTTGATGGCAACCTCACATTGCTTGAGGACGGCGTCGACGAGTACATCCAGTCAATTGAAGGTGTTGATTTTAACTGATATCTATATTAATCTTGATGCTTTCAAATACGTCAAAAGTACTGATATTAAGCATGCCAAAATCAATACTACCCTTGGTGGTAGATGGGGGTGTCTTTGCAAAAACAGTCATTTCCAACGACACTGTATATGTGAGCAGCGCGCAGCAAAAAGGACAATTGCAAATGCATGCCAATCACGTATATTGCAGTACACGCAACGCATGATAGGAACGATAAGGATGGGGTAGTTGGCCACCCCTACCATTATCATGTTCTGCGCTTTCAGGTGAATTTCCGGTGTTTACATATGCAACATGAATAAAAAAACGTCTTGTCCCTAAATATTGCTGGTGGCTAGCACTACTGGGATGCTGAGGGCGTGCATTTTGTGCAAGAGAAGCACTTTGTGATAGCCTACTGGCTGGAGATGCTGCGGCCTCCTTCATCTATGTGGTTCCAAATTCACAAGATTTCAGGGACCTGTGGATCAAAACGCTTAGGCCATGATGGCTATTCATACCGTTCCCAGCGATTAACGCCACTACTTAGACGGTCACTCGCCCCTTCACGTGACGATTCTTCCTTCCTTTTTCATATAGCATATTTCATACATTCAATATGTTGTGGAAGGGTGCTTGGAGAGTAAACGTATTCCAGACAGCTGCAGGAGGCTGTCTATCCAAGTGTATCGTACCCGAGACACAACAGTCACCACCTTAATCATATTTTTATTAATACTCTTTCTTTTGAATCCCCTTCCTGGACCTTTTCCAATATGCCTCCACAGCCTATTTCCATGATCCCTGATGATGTCTTGGCAATCGTCTTTAAATGGGCTATTCTACATGAGGATCCCAAAGAGTCGAACTTCTTTGGCCTTTCTATCCCACTTCGACTTGCTGGTGCGTTTCAGAGAGCGAGATTCTTGGTTCTATGCTCGTCTATAAAGTCTGTTGGTGTCCAGCCTCGCCGTGTTGGAGAAGGCAAATCCGATGGGCAGCGGTACTATTATATCAACTCAAATATCGATACTCTCATCTCGTGAAGTAGGCAGCTACTTCCACAAATGTGACAGTTTTCCTTCACGATGAATTCTTTTTGCAAACTGTAAATGATGGACATCATTGACGATTTCAAAGAGGGCCGCAAACATGATTTGCTTAATACCAAATATCTCAAGTTCATTTGTCCCGGTGTTATTGCACTTAGTAGCGGAGCTGATTATGCCCCAGATAGTGACTCTCGGTCAAAAATGGTAAAAAAAAAAAAAAAGTCACCTTGTCGCCATATTTCCTAATGTCACATACATGTGCTGGTTTCTGGGGAAGGGGTTCAATGGTATTTGATGGGTGGAAAGGCCTTACTTGAATAGAACCGAAGGAGGGAGAAATGAATCGAAAGGGAGGGTGGATCTGCTATGAGGCTATGTCCTGGCTAAGTGTACCTTCGTGTAGTCGGCCTGGTGCAAACGTTGCGTCAGACCGGCAGAACCATTGTCACGCTTAGAAATCTGAGTCTGACTGCCGATTGTTCGCAGTGGGATCCAGGCGCTTATTGTCATGTGCCTGACACAGGAAATTGTCATCATCATCTTCTCTGACGTTAATCCCAGCATCGGCATCAGTAAAGCTGCTCAACTACCGACAACATCACGTACCCAACCACATATCAGCAATGGTTGCGAATCACCACTTCGTAGGGTGGTAGCTATTCGAGCTACTAACCCAGCTGAGTCGCAGCCAGCAAATCCCCTGATCATCCCGCACTTGCACTAATCAAGAATGAATCAGGTAATTACAGCAAGCCCTGATTAGACCCTACAGTTTCCACGTGATGTAATTTACCCCCTCACGCAATTTTTTTTTGCACTGAGCATTGCACGTTGACAGTGCAGTATTTTCTTCAGCACTGAACCGGCACCAGGCGTGATGGTTCTTTCTCTTTTGCTCGTTAAGCTTTTTTCATAAAGGAAATTCCCGCTAGCAACTACCTATCCAACAATGGCCCACAGCAACGTCTGGTTCTCTCGTCCCCGCCGCTTCGGTAAGGGTAGCCGTCAGTGCCGTGTGTGCACGCACCGCGCTGGTCTGATTCGCAAGTACGGTCTCGACATGTGCCGTCAGTGCTTCCGCGAGTACGCCAACGACATTGGTTTCTTCAAGGTAGACCAGAATTTTTTCATAGACACAATGCAAACGACCGGGCTTGGTTGCGCACAGCCTGTTGGGCCTGGTCGGGCGGGTTGGGACCTCCTTTCTCCGAATAGGGGACGAGGCCGCCTGCTGAATCTTACAACAATGTGCAGACAAAACGATTTGGGAAAGCCAAATTTCGTCTTTCA